TAATTTATAACATTAGTTTTAAAATATAAAAAATATACCTACATATATAAATCTACAAATAAATGGTTATTGAGATGTTTTTTGTGATTACATAATATTATGGTTATGTAATAATTATTTAAATTTTAAATACAATATAAATACTTAAGTTTACAGTTTTACACACAGTCATTAATGGTAATCAAATAGTATAAGTCTTCTGTTATTGGTATACTTACATAATTTTCTTCTGGATTATTAGAATTGATTATCATTTGTCAACATGTTTTTCTATATCCTTTTAAAAAAAATAATATTTAGAAATGTTTTTATTTATGAATTATGGTTAATTGAACTTAAGACACACCAAAAATAACGCAATTCGAAATTATTTACACAGTTACACCACTTACACTGACAGTTTATTTTTATGTATAATACTATATAGTTATAAATTCTAATATAGGCAAGTATTTGAGTTTTCTGAAAATATAACAACACTGAGGTTTTATTTAGTGTTAGTATGTATGAAGTTGTGTTAGAGATAACAATGATTATCACATATAAACGTATTTTGAGTTCTATAATCTATTAATCTATCGTTTGTAAGTAGGTATTCTATGTCTTTTTTAGCTGCAAGTTTATACTGCTTCGTCTATTTGTTTATATTTTAACTTGTAAACAACCTTGTCATTTTGTTGCATTAAGTAAATTTTTCATTAAATTAATCATTTTTGTATAATGTAATTAATACAATAACTTTTACTTGTATAATACGAGTAAAAGGTATAAAATCTAAGGTATCATGATTCCCATTATATTATTATAAACATTTTATAGTTGTATAATTGTAACTAATTACTATAAATAATATAAATTGTGATGAAATCTTAATCTATACTAATGCAAGAGTACTATTAGTTGCAAGAATTATAATTATAAATTATAATGCATTTAACACGCTAACTAAACAAAAGTATATTTTATATATTGACCATTATTGTTGTTAAGTCTATAGGTACATAAATATACTCTATACTAATCAATAAATTAACGGAAATTTCTTCAAAAAATGTCTAAACTTCAACTTCTGAATATTATAAATATATTATAAAACAATACAATCATTTTTAACTGTTTTAGTACTTAAGTTTTGTTATAGTCCTTGGCAGATATTTGAGGGGGGGATCACAAGGCTTAATCCCTCCACCAAATGAAATTGCGTATACCTACAAGTGTAAATCATGTTAACAGTAATCATGAGGTGCGACATATGAGTCACTTTAATTTGGATATCGTTAGTTCCCCCCCTTAAATGTATCTATAAACTATTTGCCTACCAACAGTTTACTAAAAATATTGGGAATTTTTTAGGGAACTTATTCGAATGTGAGCTGCCTAAAATATTTTGAACTAATTCATCATTTTGTAGGTACAGGAACCAATTTGGACGCAATTGTAAAATCGAACGGTACCTTGCTATCTCGAAAAGGATACAAGTCCGCTATAGACTTTCTATTGATGTCACTAAAATCAACACTTGATAAAAATATTGGTACTTTATAATTATTATTTATTAGTTATTACTAAGGCTCAGAAATTATTGCAGCTAAAAATGGCAAAATATTCACAAAGAAAGTTGAAAAATATGTATGAAAAATAATAAACATGCTGCAAAACAAAATTATTTGAAATCAACATTTTTATTGTGAGTTGTATAGTATAAACTTACATAATATCGTATGTTTTATAGTTAAGTGTTGATTAACGGTATTTTATAAAATAATTAATTCGTTTATTAATTAATGAAACAACTAGTAGATAACCTACGAGTAAAGTATAAGATGTATATATGTATATAAGTATTATGAGCGTTAAATCAATTGTACATATTGTTACTTTACTGTACATTATTACCGGCGACGTCTATTATTATTAGATAACACCGACATCATAGTCATCACTCGTCCTACTCAACGGTCATATATCTTTTATAAATATAAATTATAGATTATTACTTCAAGTATATGTTGAATATTTTTGCCTACTTTCATGGTGTATTAAAATTTAATTGTATGTTATAGTTATGTAAATATTCTATATGAGGCAATATATTTTCTTTGAATATAATAATTAACATTTTTCTATACCTATTTAATATCTATATAAAAATTAAATGCTGTTCGTCAGTAAGCGTATAACCTGAAACGGATAGATTAATCGGACTCATTTAGTTTAAATGCTTGTAATAGTTCAAATAAAAATTTTACAAAAAAAAAAAAAAAATGGAAAAGTTAATTGGAAAATTAAAAAAAAGTGCTTTTTTGATGAGATTTTTGTATGGACTCATGATAATATGACTTTTCACGAATTTTGCTGAAATTTAACATACACGCATACAGTAGTAATGACAGCAATACTATAAACTACTCTCAAAATTATACTTGCCGAGTTAACTATAAAATATAAAAAATATTAACAAAACAACATTTTGTCAGATCAGCTAGTTTATTTATAAACTGTAACATACTTGTATACAATTAAAGGCTGCAAAAATAAAGGTACATCGCATATTTGTAATATGTTAACAAAGTCCATTTGAATAATTGATTTCTTAGTTTCGATTTTCGAAATTCAACTAAGATAATAATTAAATGTTTACTGGAACATAAGTAAGATATAATCTATTTTTAACATTTTTAATCCGGATGTAAGTTACGTACCTATCAAATAAAATCTAGGACACAGAAGTATGCACAGACAAATGTGAAACCAAATGTCCATTTTTTTTTTTAATAATTATAAGAGATAAATAAATAATAATAATTACCAAAGTAGTAATAATTAATAACTAATGATAAGTATCGAACATCAAAATATATTACGATTCAAGTCTTGATAAATGTTTCATAATTTAATTTTTAATTAAAATTAAAAAGCTAGAACTTAATTGAAATTTATTCTGTTCCGTTTTATTACAAATTAAAAAATATAAATATAATAATTTATCTTATTCATTATTAATAAAATATCAATAAAAAAATAAAAAAATTATAATACTTAATATTTACTATTATTGAAAAATAGTAAGTAAAAGAGCAAGGACGAATCACAAATGTATCATAAGATTAACCACAAATTCTTATATATAATATAATAGTAATTAATATACGTGACTTAGGTATCATAAGTTACACAAAGAACTATTGTTTTAATTTATTCACCTTGTTAAATTATTTATCATACATAAATTGTTGTGGTTTTAGATTGTTTTGGCTTTGACATCAATGATAGTTATTCGTATGTTGTGTACTTAATGGTTAAAATTATACCAGAGTAAAAAATATATATTTTGTTGATATTGTTTCAAACAACATTATATATTGGCATACTGTATTATTAGAGTTATGAGACATGAACAATGGGGAAAATGATTAAAATTAAAATTAATCTAAAAATTAAGAATTATAAGTATTAACGTAACATAAAATTATTTTAGATTTAAAATTAGGTACCACCTAATTACTTACATATTATAACATTATGATTACTAAAATATACACAATTATGAATTTTTAATGCGTTTATACAAAACAGTCATTAAATATTAATACTTTGAGTTCTGAGAAAAGATTGAATTAAATGGTCGTTTTTCATAATATTATTGAATTAATTCAGTGGTGTGACTTTCGATTTTGCTTAATGAGAAAATATTTTAACCATAAACAATAATAAATATTTATTTCTGCCTTAGTTTACAATTTTTCACTATCAAAGAAAGTAATTTAAACTAGCAAAGTAATAAGTAAATAGTGAATAACAGTCAGTCGTAAACAAAGATTCATTTATTCGTTTTTTTTTTTTCTGGAGGAAGAGGGATGTTTTATAAAAATAATAACTCATACTTTAAATTTCAATAAAAATCATATAACTACATACTACATACCACTCCAGGTAAGATTTATAAAAAAAATCTCACGTTTTGGAAAATTATATCAGCACTAGCGTTTAACAGAATAATTGTAACATATTTTGTAACCAAGAAAAAAAAAACCCAATTAAAAATTTTATATTATAACCTATTTATTATTTTGGAAAGACACAATTGGATTAGTTAATCCCAACAGTCAGTCCAAAAGACCTTTAAAAATACTATTATAAAAATAATTATGCTAATAAGTCCTCATTAATAGAACCATTTATATAAGTTAATATAAGAAACACTCAACTTTTATGTATACTAAAAATATTAGTTTAATCTAACCATAAACCTACCTATATGAACTATTCTAATAATGATATTTAATAATAATGAACGGCCATCGCTCATCCGGTGAAAATGTATTAATTTATAACAAAATTAAAAAAAAAAAATTCCTATTAGTTTTTATAGATCAAAACACTGGTCAAATATATTTTTTTTAAGGAATTATAAGGGTTATAATTTTCCCTTAAAAGGGTTGTTTTTCAAAAACAGGGTGTTTTTGATTTAACGCTTAGTATCAAAATATGTAAATATACAAGACAATGAGTTTAATTTAATATTTCAATAACTTTTTATAATTTATAATTTTTAATGTTTCTATCCTTTTATAACACAAAATGTTTTTCTCGTAAACATTTCTTGAATTTATATTTTTTAATCGTTAATATTTCACAATAAATATTTAACTATTTGATGCAAAAAAAAAAAAAAATACAAGCTTAAATCTTAAAATTTTTTAATTTTTTGTTTAATACTATAGTATTAAAATATCGAATTATTCGTGTTGTTTTTTATGATGAAACATAAATAGTTTTTAAAATAAAAAATGTTTAAATTTGAAAAGAGTTTTACATAAACTTAACTCTACATTAAAATAAAACATATGTGTTTATATTAAATCGAAAATTATTTAAACTTTATCATAAAAATTATATCTAGAAAATATAGATACTAACATATCGTATGCGAAAGGTGTAGTTTAAACAAGCTAGTATCAGTCGTGTGTGTTTTCAGTTATGTTTTGTGTGTAGTCGCAGACTGACGTTTGATGATGATGAGTGATGACGAATATTTTAGTTTGATAATTTTAATGTTTTTATAAAAGTAATTTAAAATGAAATATAAAAATATTTAAAGATTTAATATTAAATTTTTTAAATTGCATTTAATAAATACTGTTGTGTTAAATGTTTTAAAAAATATGAACAGTTCTATGGATACTACCGCTACTACTACTTCTACTACTGCTACAACTCTTAAGTCAAAAAGATTTCCGACTATGTTCAAAAAAATAATGCTTTCAAGTTAGTTGAATAATTTTAAAAATTATTATAATACAACATGTCTTGATACGAATATAAAAAAAAATACATTGCTTATATGTATACAAAAATATATTAATTGTATTTTTACTTTATATTTAATGTGTTCATATAGGTTAAATCAAAATTTTATAAGTAATTGTAATTTATTTGATAAGTTAAAAACATTATTATATAGTGGTTTTATAAGGTATTCGTGTAATAATTTATTAATTATCTCCTTTAAACTGGTTGAATAAGTCGAGCAAATAATTAACAATATTATTGAACTATAACTCTAAAACTTTTAAGACTTTAGGGAAAATAAACACAGTTTAATTTTGACAAATCTGTGATAATATTTATAGATATAATTAAATTATCACTTTAAGACCCCTTCTCTAAATAGTAGATAAATAATAAATAATTATTGGATTTATTAGCCTTATAAATGAATTAATAAATTTTAGCTATATATTTTTTAAATTAATAATAATTTATTTTAAAAATATTTTTTGCGAATTATATTTACATATAGATTACAGTAATAAAACATAGTTATAAAACTGTATTTGCATTTAAAATAGGATAAATAGATAGTTAAAAAAATAATACAATTATATTTTTATAATGTTATATAAATAATCTATGTGAAATATACTAAATTAATTTATAAGTAATATACCTTATATGCATAATAAATACGCACAACCCATAATACCCTAGAATTTTAAATATCTAACTTTTTAATATAAAAAATTTAAAAAATAAGAAAGTGTACGAGCGATTGCAGCATTATTAACATAACATTAATATGTAATAATGTATATATTATTTATTTATATTTTAAATATTTTTAAGTTTAAAATTTTCATACTTGACTAATTATGAAAAAAAGCTTAGATAGTTAACTACTACATTGATTTTTTATACAATATCAACAAACTAGAATGTTATCCATGGTAACGAGTTATTTGTGTAGAAATTGGATAAAAATGTATCATTTAAAATTAAAATATACACACCGCATGTAAGTAGGTAATAAAATAATAAAATGTACACAACTAAAAAGAAAAATTCTCTTTTCCGTAATAATATGAGATTTATTACGTCTTAAATTTAAGAAATGTATTTTCTATAGAAAACAAAATAGCTAATAAAAAAATTAAATCAATCACTATGACATACGTATTATAAAACGTTGATAATAGATATTATAATAAAACACAAAATAAAAAACAAATTCAATTAGTTATCGAATTATGAACAACGATATAATGCAGTTTGATTCAAAATATACTTATCTATACTACAGATAAGAAATGTTTTATTTACCATTGACTTTTCTAATTTAAATTTTGTGAAATCTACACTAAATTCTATACCTATGTACAGATTAGATGTTAAAATTAAAATTAATTTATAAATGTTATAAATGTACTTGCAATTATGCATAGGTATACCTATTATAATAGATGTAACAAATAACGTTTTATGAAATCAAAAATGTGTATTATGGTGCGCATTTGTTTAGGATTAAAGACCATTTCAAAGGATGCAACTTCGGCTGTAAAATCGTCTGTCCAGAAAAAGACATCGACCAAAAAAAAGTCAAAAACGGCAATGCCAGCTGAACAGGAAGTTGTAGGTATGTCAAGGCGACCAGACACAGCCACGTTGGGCAAACCACTGTTCGACAAGCAGCAAGCAGAGAACGGAGCGGAAGTACGGCCATCAACTACAAAACGTCCGGTTTGTAAACAATTTAACAGTAGAACATACCGGGTGAAAACAAAGGATCGAAAAAGCGTACTAAGTTTGCCAGAAGTATCTAAACAGACATCGAAAAATCGTAAAAGTCATTTACCGATTAAAGTGAAACCAATTGCTCCCACTCCACCAATTCGGCAACGTATCCAAAAGTTGCCTCCATCAAACAATCAAGAAAATGTCAAAGAAAATATAAATAGCAATAAAAAAGAAGAAAAACCCGAAGAATATATACCAGAAAAGTGGGTTCCGACAGCTATTGGATCAGCGAGAAAGAAAAGACTTGTTATGTGCTATCTGTGCGGTAAAGAATTCGGTACTGCTTCGTTGCCATTTCACGAACCTCAGTGTCTCAAGGTACGCTATAATTATTATTCCCTAAAACAATCCCTAGGGGTTATAGGTAAAAAGTATACAAATATATCATAATTTTATTAACAGTATATAATTATGCGTATTAAGTTACTAGCACTATAGATGTCGCTTTTAAAAACTTAACTATTTATTTTTTTGAAAACGTGAATAAATTTACTTAATGTCTAATGTTAATCGATTTATATATTATATAGATAGGTATAAGCCATAAGGCAAATACAAAAAAATCAAAATATTATTTTATTCTACTGAAAAATTTAACTAACAAAAATATTGATAGAAAAAATATGATAATGTCACAAAATAATAATATATTCGATTTATTTTGCATTTCAATTTTTATTGGGTACACTATAATTATTTATTGTCCTTGAACTTGAAATATCGTATCCTTTGTTATAATGCTTGGTTTGATTATTTTTTTTTTCATTTTTGTTTTGCGTTTTAAAATATTTTTTAATAAACATTGATAAATTATACTTCGTGACGAGTTATACACAGACATCCCCAATATGATAAATAATAATAGGTATGTGCTGTTATTAGATACAAGGTATGATATAATAAACTAAATAGTTTCTATTCTAATATGTATATTGTATATATTATATATTACTATTATTATAACAAACGATATTAAACTAATTTTTCGAATAATAAAAATATAGAATTTTTTATGATTATCGAAAAAAAGTTAATAATTATATTTGGTCGTTATAAAATTATGACACGAACTTCCTTTGAAACTAGGTTTGGTTTAAATATTAATGGATGTTTCGGATGACGCATTAAATAAAAAATAAAAAAGTTTGTCGAAGTAGAACTGAAAACTACCGGATATAATATATGTCCAGTTGAATATAGGTTAAACGTGGGAAGTGAACCTACAATGTTTAATATAAAAAACATTAATTTGTACTATTTTTCTTCGTTTCTAACGTATCTGTAAAGGAAAGTTAAATCTTTTCTTGATTACAAGTTTATTTTATTTTCAACCTCAACTGTATTTCTATTTTTAGTATAGTTTATAACGTTTATATTTTACACGGTTTACATAGTCAAAACACAATGCATCCAATGTGAGAGCAAAAATAATAATGGGTGTGCACCTATTTGGTAGTCGCTTGCTCAGGAAGTCCGTAATATGTCTATATTATGGTTTTTGAAACGCTACTCCCATTGTTTAAAAGAGGATGTTATATATAACAAGTAGTATTTGCAATAACCTACCGGTATCAATAAAACTAATATCGAACTCAATTAATTGTGCTTAATAACACTGTTACTTACGTAATTTAAAATAAATATAAAGTCACTCAAACAGTCACTCGTTTAAAAAAAAAAAATGATTTAACAATTTAAATGTTTTATCTAACAATATTTTGAAAAAAATAGATGGATATAATATACATATTATAGTAAAATAATAGTTATAGTTAACAAGAACAAAATGTGATTAAGTTAATAAATAAATTATTATTAAAATAAATTGTATACATTTTTAAGTAATGATATTTTATGATAAAAATAATTATTTTTTAAATTTACTATGACAATTATTGTATTGATTGAGAACAGCATATATAGATTACAATCTTCAAGAGATAACATCTCTTTAATGAATACTATAGAAAAAAAAGTCTGTTTTATTACTGTCACAACATTATACTAAAGATTGAAATTTATGAAACACTCAAAAGTATAAATTACTTTTTAACTAACTTGAAAAATAATATTTATACAAAAAAAATAAATATACCTAAGTCTAATTTTATACTTTATATTTTTGATTTAAATCAACAAGGTATATAATAAATTGATAATTTAAATTCCTTAAACTTTATAAATCATTATTTATTTAGCTTCAAAATTAAAATATTAATAATAAATAAATTAAAATCAAATATTAAGTACTGCTTAAATTATATTTATAGTAATTACTTAAATAATTATTTATAAAAATAAAGTAAATTGTTTAATTTTTTTTATTTTAAGGCTATTAAACGTAACCACGGTTTTTTTTTATAAATCTGCTTAATCAACTGGCGGATCCTTGTAAGTTAATGTTTTCAAATGTCCCCATAAAAAAAAAAAAATACACGACAATATATGTATAAAAATTAACCAATAATGTATAATTATAAATGATTTTATGCACTTTAATAAATCGTAAAAATGTATTATTTATCAAAATTTAAATTGCATTTATTCAGTTAATTTTTAATTTAGAACCATAGTTGATACATTAAAATTATTTTAAAAAATTAAGTCTATCCGAATATAATGTTCATAATAGGAGTTGCTATTTAAAGAAAAATATGTTTTATTGCAAAAATGTATATTTATATACCACTAGCTTGCAAAAAAAAAAAAAAAAAAGATTTATTCCAATATAATTTGCCCAAGAAATACAATATTCCATAAATTGGTAAACACACGGTATATAATATATTTTTCTGTGAGCGGAGGAGTGTTGGTGTAATGGAACCAGAGTGGTTTTTAACAAAAATCAGTTATTATAGACTATGGAATATAGACCTTGAAAATTGGAAACTTCAAAACAGTCAAAACCAATAACAACCCATACTGACCACAGAAATACCCATTTACTATGTAACTATACTTGTTTTAAATTAATTATCATATAACTTCGGAAAGTTGGAGTACTTATAATACATAGCTCTCACTGACCACTTCACCCATAAATATACTACCCATCACTATGTTTTATATATTGTCAATATAGTGTAATTTAACCAGTAAAAATGTTTTCATAATAAATAATTAAGTTAATGAAATATCAAGACATGCATATATAAATTAAAATTTAAAAGTTAGTCATGTTAAATTAACAAAGGGTTGAAGATCTAAAATGATTAATCATAATTCATAATATACATAAAAAAATGATTTTAAATAGAATTTTGTTGAAACGATGTTTTCTGATAGTGTTCTCCTAAGTTTAAGTTTAGAAAAACATTGAACAAAATCGAAAAAATGCTTTTTTTCAAATAATTATCTAAATTCTAAAGACTCAATATTTCGATATCCCAAAATCCAATCTTCAATGGTGCTACTCACTACATTATTAATTTAGAACTATTCTACCCTAAAATGTATTAAGAGAAAATCAGAAAAAGATAATTATTAAAAAATAATTGTAATTTAAATTTCTATGTTTTATTGTAAATTTTTGAACACTACACGCATTATTTTTCAAGGTATATTTTATATAATTATACGCGGCTGTTCTTCAGACATATAATAATTAATACTGTTAATTTTGAATTTACATTGAAAACATAAAATATAATGTGTACTACAAACTTACACATAGCAATATAAAATAAAAACTTCATAAAAATATAGTTAAATATTAATGGACGAACAATTAGCGTAAAGATAAAAGTTCTTATATCCAATAATGCCTATATTATGTATTTTTTAACAGAAATGGACACAAGAAAATTCTCGATTACCCGAACATTTACAAAGAACCATGCCAAAGAAACCGGAAAATCAAACTATTTCTGTTGATGATTGGAATCAGTTAGCATGGGAAGCTACTCAGGTATAATATATGTCATGAAAAAATTACATTTTTTATCTAAATCATATTAGCTTAAAAAGTCAATACATGGAGTTGAAGTTCGATGAACTGAAAACCAACTGAGCAACGAATACGAGTGGGCAGAAGTCATGACTCGTATGATGCAGTTAATTCATTTATGGTATAATCAACTATTATAACTGGTTATACGCTTTATTTGTACGCCCAAACATTGGTGTACATACGAAGGTGTATATTAGAATTCTCTCTTGAATATATATAGTCGAACAATGACAATTTTTAATTCAAATGGTAGGAAAATGATAAGGCTTTTCTATATATATATAAATTTATGACATTTCAAGTTATCTTATGCATATTAAACATATACATATAGTAGTTAATCATAAAAATTTACTATTCCGACAATAATACATAATTTAATAATTATTGCAGTCAAATTTGGTGCCATGCGATTTTTGCCAACGGAAGTTTCTACCAAACAGACTCGAAGCCCACGCAAGAGTTTGTATTGAATCCAAAAAAAAAACAGTGCCGGTAAGTGGATAATAATTTGATTATATTTACTAAGAATTTTACTGGGTATATTTTAAATTTGATAACTACTAAACATATTGATAATTTGACGATTGATAAATGATTAGTATTTTTAATTTACGTGTTACGATAAATTTAAGCAATATTTATATTAGATATTTAGTTAATGTATTTTGTTTGTTAGTTATCATACAAATAAGCAGTATTCTACTATAACTATAGATACTCGAAAATTGTAGAATATTTTATAATCGTACTTTGTATTTTGAGCTTTACCGCGGATGTATTATATAATATGAATAAATAAATAAGCAAATGTTTGGGTATTACGAGTACAAATTGTAAATTTATACATATATGCTAGAATTAGAAATCGTTATTCGATTGTGTTATAAAAATAAGTTTTTTTCGTCTGACATTAATTATACAATAAGTTATCACAATAAAAAACTTAACGTAGCCAAATGTATTGCATAATATTTTCCTTAATCTTCGTCTAGGTCAATTACGTCATTTCATAAAATGTATGCAGATTAATGCACATATAATATATGGCTTAATATATTTTATATAGGTACATAAAATAAATATTATATTTAATGTAAGTAATAAATAAAATACATTAAATAATAAATAATAATTCAGCAATAGATCTTTTACAAATTTTATATAATGTAATGACTGATAAAATATAGAATAATATTTACCCAAAGTGGTTTTTTTAATGATAAACACTAATTTTCTCGAAAATATTAACGTTCTTAAATGTAAATAATATTTTTACATAATTTGAACAGACCAGTGAGCTAAAGATAAGAAATAGTTCGCAAAATGTTGGTCAACTACTACAATTATCTAAACTTAACTAATAAGTTCCTAAATCGCAGTTATAAAAAAAGTCTTGGTAAAAAAAATTCTTACTCTTGTTTATTTAAAAAAAAATTACAAGTAAAAATATTTTCTGTCGTAATAAAAAATATTTATTATAATTTTTAGTCGAACTTTACTGAAAAAAATATCATTTATATATGTATATGACTCAAAATCTCTATCTTTATATTTATTAACTGCATCGGATATATGTATCATATGAGTAAAACTCAACAAACTAAATAACTAAGATAAAAGCAAAAGTATTTGATTATATAAATTGAGAAATTTTCTAAGTCCAAAAAAATAGTTGTGACATGTAACAAGTATTATGATATTATCGATATTGGTACTTATAAGATTATTTGTTGATTTCGCCAGATAAATCATTTAATTAAAATGTATATTAATATTAATTAGAATGTTAATTGTGCATCACTTATTCATATATATATTAAACTTTTTTATACCATGTACTTTTTATGTTTCAAAATTTTTTATCTTGGGTTTTTTAAGTCTACTTATAGGTTCATCTGCTTATAAGTTACACAAAAATAACTATTCATTCAAAAATTCTTATATTATACATTGTGTTCCTTAGAAAAATATTTGCTAAAATATAAAAAATCCTTTTATATTATACGATTTAAAAATACACGGAAATTGTAGTGTAGTGAGTACCGCGTGTACGTAAGTCACTCAGGTAGTAGGTACTTGTGTAAAATAACTGTATACTGTAATTATATATTTCTATTAAAGGTTAGGTATGTACTAATTTTGAAGTAACGTAAAATATCTCGAGTAATAATTAATTATCATAAAATCTAATTTGATCAAAATATTAGGCTCATAATATTCACGAGAAAAAAAAATGGAAGTTCAGTAGATTTTTAAATGTTTTCCTCTACTCAGGATCTAGTATAAAAATTCGTAGTAAACAGGTAAGTTACATCAAATTATATAAAAATAAATAACATTTTTAAAAAGAATACATTAAACGTAAGATTTTGTGTTAATTGAGCATTTAAATTAATATTCTTGAAACATTTTGAACTAAACAGTCAGATAAACAAAATACACAAAATATAAATTGCATAAAGTAAAACATGTAGTTCATACTAGAATTGAATCGTTTATTTATGAAAAGTGTTAGGCATATTTTTTTTATAAATATATATTCTTTGACTTTGGATGAATCATTTACTGTTGAAAGGAGTAAAATCAGTATGAAAATTAATTTATTATGACGATTCAAATATTTGGTTAGGTTAGGTTAAAGTAGAAAAAGCTCCTAATTTATTAACATTTATATACATTTAAATAAATATTTGTTTAAAATTCATAATTAAATACTTATATTGATACAGTTGTTTTATTTTACATTACACTATTTCAATCCCGTTTATGATTTAGACATTTTATTTATGAAAAGAATTTAGTAACTTATTTATTTATGAAAAGGGCTAAAATCGTTCAATTAAAACCCTTACAGTTGGTTACAAAATAAATTTGAAAATTTTTTATTCACAAATTTAAATATGCATAGAGTATAAGAATTAAAAATATATTTTTTTAATATTTTTAAAATAAAATTAAATGTGAAAAACATTTTTTTTTTCATTTTCTCAATAACTTGATTTTGGACTAAACCCCTTTCATAAATAAACGATTCAATTTAAATTTTATATTTAGAAAATGACCGATTGTTTTCATAATTATATCATCTGCAATGATATTATTTTGCACGCCAATATTAAATGTATATCAGTAAAAGTATTAAAATTTAGTATACAGAAAATAATATAGTATAACTAATATATTATATCCAAACTACGTATTTTCGTTATCATTAATCATTTAAAACGTTACACGTATTTTATTATAGGTATCTATACGACTATACCAATATACTATCTATAAACATTTAAAGCATCATCGTGACGTACTAGCTAGGTATTAGGTACCTATAGACACATACCTACTTATAAGCCCAATAAATGAGTATAATACTATATAATACAGCGAATTCGTGTATCGATTGAATGCCCTTTTGTAAACAACGAAAGTATAAAAAGAAGAATAAAAAATATGTACATATTATAATTAGTACTCGTATTATTATATACTAAATGCACTGAAATCGTCAACGCTGCGAGGTGTGATACAACAACCGTATACCAGGTGAAAAGTAATTGTTTTATCATGAACCACTCATTAATTCTATTATAACACTCTTGAAAATATTTCTTAATTCTTTTATAAAATTGCAAAAAAAAAAAGTTCTTAAAATGTATATTTTTCAATACTATAATTTTTAATTTTTAAATTGAATAGAATATGAATTTTAAAAAAAATGTATATTATTGTAGAAAAACATTATCTAATAAAAAAAAAAAATAGTAAAAACTAAAATTTATTATAGAAAATGTTAGTTTTTTTTTTTAATAATTACAATTATGTAAAAATATATTTTTAAAAAGTTTATAGTTTTTGAAGTAATAAGTAGTTTATAACAATAAAAATATTAATCTGTATAAAAATAATTATGTATATTATATTGTGCAAGGGGTATCGTTGTAATATTCCGTTTTTAACAGGTGCCGAAATTACCTGTTAAAGCAGCCGTAATCATGGACAGACCAAAAAAGAAACCGGCGCCGTGTTACGTGTGCGGTCGCCTGTTCGGGACCGCGTCCATAGGGATTCACGAACCACAATGTCTGATCAAATGGACCCGAGAAAACGATAGCTTAGCACCGCATCTCCGACGACCTGTGCCCACTAAACCGGAGGTGATCATCGACGAAGGTAATGTGATATCACTATTGTGTTTGGCGTATAATGTACCTAGGTACTCAGGGTCAAATTGCCCACATTTAAGAGGGTATAATAAATATGATTGCACTGGGTGGCAGACTTTTGGTAGCGATTAATAATATTAAACTCTATAACTATTCTTTATTTGTGGTGGAGCCATATGGTATAGATAATAAAGAAATGGATAGGACACCTCCAATTATTTGCTTGCTAAATTTTCAGTATTTTGTTTTAAATAGTTATGTTTTTATTTATTTATGTAATCTTTATAAATATTATTTATTTTCAACATGGTAATCATAATATATTAATATATTCATTAATCAGGATATGGTTAATAATATATACCTAGTAATAAAAAAAGCAAAAAAGTAACAATTGACAGTCTTATATAGATTTAAATAAAAAATGTACAACTACAGTAATAAAAACAAAACAAAATATTCAAAGTACTAAACAAAAATTTCATACATATATATCAGGGACGGTCAAATTTTTTTCGGCCGCGATCTACTAAAAATATACTTCACCTTTGAGGATCGACTTCGATAAAAACGTTTTTATTATTATTAAGTTACTATACCACCATAATTAATTTTCGTGAGCGTAGCCTAAAAATAAATTCTAGCATGATCGACTTTAAAATCGTTTGCGATCGACCGGTCGATCACGATCAACTGTTTGGCCGCTCCTGATATATATGATCATTAAACATTATTTAAGTTTAGTCAAATGCAACATATCGAAGTGCTTACCTAATATTTGCTGAGCAGGTTATCACGTTGATCCAATTTTTAAAATTAATAAATAACTACGCATTATAAGTCTAGGAAAATAAAGTTTAAAAAATGAAAATTTAAAAAATCATTTTTTTAAATACAAATTTAAAATTAAATAAAAATATTTTCTGATTAAAATTAAAAAAAAAAAAATAATAATTTGTTAAACATTTACTAAATTTAACCAATTTACAACTTTGGGTAATATGATGTAAGTACATAATTATTGTACTTTTTATAGCATAATTACTACAACAGAATAATATAGGTGTAGATACCTATCATATTATTCGTATTAAACAAATAGCTTTTATTTGGAAAACTTTAAATGATTTAAACAGATTTGAATATTTTTTTAGAAAAATATTCTCAACGAAATAATTTATTACAGTCGTAAAATGGGCTTATTTTAAAAATGTATTTACACACCCAAAATAAGAATGCATAATAGTATTTGAAAATTGTACCAAAACTACGAAACACCAGGCTCTGCTAAATTACCATGAAAAACTCAATTTTAAAAATAGGTATTCATTTTGTTCCTAAGTCATCGAATCCGACTCCAAATAAATAGTTTACGGTACCTACCTGTGTTGTAATGCTTTTTTGCATGCATTGTCTTGTGAACAGATGGCATGACTACTCTCCATTCAAAATTTCAAACGTACCACTCGTTTAGTTAACGGCTTCAAATGTAATTTAGATAATTTAAATAAACCCTGTATTAGGGATTTATATAGTTATATACTCAAGTTATAGATAGTGTAATAATGTAGTGTAACCTAAATTATATTTTTGTTTCGCGAACAGTTTTAAATCAAAAGGAATTTTTAAGCCAATAATGTGTAGATACACTAACCTATGATACTATTTATTTTACCAGGTACATATGACGTTTTAAAAATTATACCGCAGTACTTACATTAAAAACAATGGCACCTATCCATATTTTTTGTGTATTGACTAAGATAAGGTTAAAATCTCTACCAAAGTACCAACAGCTCTAATAAATTTATATAACAATGCAATAACCAAGGTCCAAGATAATAGGTACCTCTCTACCAATATACCAAATATTTAATTGATTGTGATTTGGTAAATGTTCATAAATCATAATTAACATGAAAATACGTTTGAAAATTAGTTTGTGCATAAAACCTTACCATATTATTATTAATAATTCTATACACAATTCTTTAACATCAATGTTAAAAAGCGCGGTCTATATTGTAATCACTTAACATATTATATTGTTAACCAATATTGGCAAATAATAATGACATCGTTGCGGTACGTTTTATAGTGACGGGCAAAGTGGACCAGCAGGCTACCAGAGAAGAACACTGGAAATCGTACTTGTCACAGCTTGTGCCGTGCGACCGGTGCAAACGGACATTCGACCCCGACCGGTTGGAGGTGCATCAGAGAAGTTGTAAAGGAGTGACGAATAAGTGAAAATAATATTATTATTTAAGCTTAAAGCGTCGATGCGAACATAAATGATATTCATGACATTTACGTCGTAGTCCTTGTCAAAAACCTGTTTTATTTAAAATATTAATATTTAATAGGTAACTACTTCAATTTAAAAGTAAAATATAATTAATCCACCCATTATAAAAATCAGATAATCGCCTCAAAGATTGATGATATAGGCGATATGGCAACTTTATAGTGATCATTTTGTTTTTCATACCATAAAGATCGCTTTTAATTATATATTTATTATAATATAGTATATCTATTCACTCAATGATTTATCCATTAATTGTAGTTAACCTTATCTATAGTTTATAGATACTTAACACAAACAAATAATGGAAGAATTCAAAAATTATTAAATTGTATCTATAAGACTATAACATCGAAAAAATAAGCTGTTTAAAACTTTGTACGAGCTAAATGTTACATAATGTGTAATGTGCATAGTATTAGCTTTTTTTTTAGATAATTTGTGATTTGAATATGTAATATGTATGTACAGTTAAATGGACAACTTATATTGATACCCGAGTATTTTACTATAAATATTAGTAACTTTTATTTTTTAAATTTAATATGTATTATAATAAACTAGCTTTTTACCTACATATATAAATATATACACGAGTTTTTATAATAATAAAATTGAATAAGATTTTAAATTAATAATTTCACGGGTATAATGACTACTATCAGTCTTCAAGGGAAATTCAGTTTTAATACTTCATGTACTTTTTCAATAATACAAACTTGGATAAAATACTTTGATTATATCATTGATATTAATGATAAGAGCACGTATTTATTTAAAGTCCAATGCTCAATATTTACGAAAATAAAATTAATTTGTTACAAGTCACAAAAAAAAACACATTTACATTAAATGACCGGAATGTAAAGTTTAGGATCGTAAGGAGGAACTTTGAAGTTCATTCGTGATAAGCCATGGTGCATTAATAGAATTTATAAATTTGCTCAAACATTTTAAGCTAGTAGACATTTCTCATCTAACAGAAATGGATCTAAAAATGCACAATCTTAAGTTTTATTGAATAAAAAAACAAATCAATGTATTCCAATTTTACAAGTAGGTTCTAAATAAATTGTCGTTCTTACTGTTTTAGTTATCAGTTGTGATTTAAGAGACATAACTGGAACTATTAATAATTATTTTTTTAAATATATGAACTATTCTTCTGTTACAATAAGCATAAATGCAATAAGTTATACGTACAAGAGACAGTTAGAAATTAATAATTATCCATATGATACTAGTCTATTTCAATTTATCTGCTAAGAAAAGATCTTTTAAGGATTAAGAGTGGATTTGAATTAATTACAAGGCAGATATATAACTTCCAAGACTGAAAGAAATTAAAAAAATCTTTAGTGACAAATTAAAATATAAAAATGTATATTGTAACTTAATTAATATTATTTGCATCTATGTTTATAAGATACATATATTATATCCTTTATAAAATTAATTTAACCATTAACTATTTTTCGAAAGAATTTGATATTAAAATCTTCCGTGAAACAAAAATAGAAAGAAATCTGCCTGTAGCACTCGATATCACTAACGTATTAATAAATTATATACAAATTTAGTAGACTAAAAACTTAATGATGGTTTAGAGAGACCAATGATTTTGTTAAATGGTATGGGATCTTTAAAAGTTCTATTTTTCATGAGATTAAAGTCATGAAAATCAGGTAACAAACCGCTAACCAGTATGTTTTATACTTCCTATTACATATGAATTTTTGAAGATCTTTCAGAACGTTTGCTAAGTGAAGAGTAGCATTGTCATGAATAATTCTATTCCGTCAATTTTCCTGCTTTTAATTTTTTTTATAATAGTAGCAGTAGTTAGTCCATAGTAAACTTTACAACTATCAACAAAAAATACAACAAAATGAAATTTCTTTGATTGCGCTCCAGAATAAAAAATATCTTTTAATATTATTCAAAACGAAAATCACTAATAACTATGTCAGTCATCGGGCCATGGTGATTTTTAAATATTTATAACTTTATAAGTTATATATATAAATAAGTGTATATTAACATTAAAAAAAAAAAAAAATATACTAGAAACTGTGTTATAGTTACATACACTAAACGCAACTCCATACAAAAATATAATGTACTATCTTATCCAAATAAGATGACTTGTATTCGTGCATGGTGGACATAGCTAACAGGCCGCATGTTAGTCTAGCAATGCAGGCGGTGGCAAGCAATTTACTCTGATGCAAACCAAACATAATTCGGTTGTTTGTAAACAAGTCATCTTAGTTAGAACAGAGTATAGTAAATAATATTTATTTTTCAAAACATAGTATTTAATTCATTGAAGACCAGAAACTTAAAAATTAATAGAAGTAAAATTGAACAACAAATAATTAATTTTCATATTAATGTTTTTTTTATTAGGTATTTTTGTGACATGCACAGCGTTACACCAAACGCTTTTTTGATAAAACACATAATATTACCACCAGTAAATTATCAATTAGTTTTTTGTTTGAAAAATGGAAACAATCATATAAACTCAGGCACTGCCATACATTTGAAAAAAGAAAAACTTAAACCATATTCATCAGTTCTTTTAGAATAGTATAAGTCTTATGGAAAATTAAAGTTTGTTTTTGTAGCATAAAACAAGTATTGTTCATTATTAAGACAAAAATATTATTTAAGTGGAAATAACATGTCTTCCTTACTATTGTGTTTAACAATAAAATAATAATAAAAAAAAATGCGGTGATTTTAGAGTTAATATCATGTTTACAATTTATCAAGGTATGAATTGATGTCTGGTAATCCATCCTTAAGACCTTTACGTTTACGAGTTTCCTAAAAACAAAAAAAAATATAACAATTAGTAAAATGTTGATATTTAGACATATTTTATCTTACCATAACAACATTGAATGGTTTTGATCCTGATTCACATGGGTCACCAGGGAATATTTGCCAATGATCGAATACACATTGTGGGAAAGCTTGTCCTCCAGTATTACTACGTAAATCAGCAGTGAATCCTGCAAAAAAAGAAAAATAGCAATTATTCCAAGTTTACTGAATTTATTTATTTTTCAATTGATATCATAAAAATTTGTTTCAGTTCATCATAGCTAAATCATCATCAAACATAAGGATAGAGGTTCTGTGACAGCGTTCTGATGAACTGAAATAATTTTCTTCCATTTGCACTTTCAACACTGTCCCCATTCACGAACGAATAAAAACCCGCCCGCCAACTACAGAGTGATTCATTTATGCTGGAAGGTATCAAATATAAAATCAATAAATTAAACTATAGTAATATGAGTGTATTACATCAGACAAGACGATTCTGACGAATATAGCGACATAAACCTAAATTTAATTTACCACTAAAGGAAAGTCTATTACTTTATTTATTCAAAGTAAAAGAGGCAAATTGTGGTTTCTACTGTTGAGTTTAATTTGAAAAAAAATGTTATGTAGTAATATGATTGTATTACATCAGATAAAAACCTGAAGAACATAGCGACATATACCTAATTTCAATTTACCACTAAAGGAAAGTCTATTACTTTATTTATTCAAAGTAAAAGAGGCAAATTGTGGTATTGACTATTATTTAATTAAATTGAGTAGCAAAAATCATAGTATTACAAACAGGTAAAAACTTGAACATATAATACTTTGACAAAAAGCGACTCTCCTCTTCATATCATAATTAAAAATACAAAATAAAAATTTAAGAATAAATTATAATCTTACCGAATGATTCGTTGACGGGCAAGTATGCTTTAACGACGAACATAGGTGTACCGACAACTTGACTTTCTTCAAAAACGTGTCCTCTACGTCTATTCAAAACACTGTAAATACCTCCTACAGCAACTTCAGGGCACTAATAACAAAATTGTACATAAAGTTACTTTTCAAAGAATAGTTATGAATATTAATTATATAATAAGTATCATGAAAATCATAAAAACAAACCTGAATTTCACACAAGTACACAGGTTCCATAATTCTTGGGTGAGCAGCTAAAATTGAAGCATACATACAACGACGAGCAGTAGGAATGATTTGACCACCTCCTCTATGGATAGCATCAGCGTGTAATGTAACATCATAAATATTGAATCTAACTGCACGCATATTTTCTTCAGCCAACACTCCCTAGAAAATTAACAACACATACTTTTATTTAAATATTAAATACTTAGTATTTAATTACTCAGACACTTTCAACCATCATTAAGCAAGACACATTTGGTGGTAATCACTTAAGATTTAACATATATATTATGTTACCAGAAAAGATGACATTTAGTCAATGTTGGACAATGCCTAGTCAATGATGACAATTTTTAATAAAAGACAACTAGGGTTAGGATGTTTATGACTTTTGGATATTCAGTTGAAAACAGTTACAAGAAGTTATGATATCATAAAATTAGGTTTACTATATATACAAATAGGTATATTTTAGGTACCTGTTTCAAAATCAAATTGATCACCGATAAAGCGGTGTTAATATTTGTTTTGATACAGATTTATAACATAACCTAATATAATACAGAAATGTTGATAAAGCTACAAAATATCCAACATTTCCATCTTTCCAGTCATTGTCAACAATGACTAGAGAATCACAATAATTCCTGAATTATCATCTTTTCAGGTAACATATATAACATCATAGCAGAATTAAGTAAATTAATTGTGGAATATATTCACAACTATAAATTTAGTATAATTACTCAGACACTTTCAGCCATCATTAAAAGATAGATACCTCTCTGGTGGAAACCGCGAAAGATATAACAATAGTATCATCATAGAAATATTATCTTAAACTTTTCATAATTTAAGACGGATAACAATAGGTATTGGGTAGTATACAACTATTGAATTATATACCCAATTCAATGAAAATAACTATAGTAAAAACTTCTTTATTTGGAAATTGCAAAAAAATAATCATACATTGTAAATTTCATTAAAAAAAGTTTGATACAAAATATAGAAATAAAATACTCAGACACTTTCAACCATCATTTAAGATAAAAATCTTTCTGGTGGAAACCGCGAAAGATATAACAATAGTATCATCATTGAAATGTTGGGACTTATATTTTCACCTTTAGTGAAAGAGATGATGGTACCGAGAGTAACATAATAATCTAATTTATACTAATTGTATGGAAATAAATAACTTAAATAAACTTTTATTTGGAAACCTCTTAGATGTGTTAAACACAATACTTGTATTAATAATAATCTTAAACTTTAATATATAGAAATAAATTACTCAGACACTTTCAACCATCATTAAGCAAGATGCATCTGGTGGAAACCGCGAAAGATTTAACAATAGTATCATCATAGAAATTGTTTCAAACATTAACTTTATATAACGTATTTTCAACTTTATATTAACAATAAACAGATTATTTCTTATGTTGTAATTTAATTATCAGACACTTTCAACCATCACTTAGCTAATTGCTGTCTGGTGGAAACCGCGAAAGATATTAGAGTGTATCATCACAAATTAAATCTTAAAGAATATAGAAAGACATAATTTTGGAATCAGCTACTTGGCAACTTTCACTCATCAAAGAGCTGTATCTTATGGAAATTACTATTTATTAATATTGTTGACATGTCTTGTTTTTTTAAATATAAATATATTCTAGCCTAATGCCTTTTAGTCCGATCAGAATTCAACATCAACTTAGCTTTTATACTCACAATTTTTAAGTAACTTTCAGTATATAATACATATTTTAACATGATATTATAAAATTATAAATGTATGCAGGAAATTTGAAAATATGCTCAGACACTTTCAACCATCATACGAAATATTCTCTGGTGGAAACCGCGAAAGAATAAAACTTGTATCATCATAGCATCCTTATATAATTATCTAAATTAATAACTACTAAATATATAATTACCTCTTTGGTTGCCCATTGGAATCCAGCAACAACAGAATCCTTGATTTCATTAAGATATTGCACTCCCTTAGTACAATCAATTAACAAGTTGGGGCCTGTTCCATCAGGACCAAAAGCCCAGATTTTACGAGCTTCAGTGACATCATATTCATATTTCTCACCCAAGTAGCGAGCACGAGCTTTGAATTCATCTCTTGGATTGACTTGACCCTAAATATCAGGTTAAGTATGAAAACGATAAAATACATACAATAAGCAAATTCAAACTTACTCCTTCAATGTCTTCAGCTAAACCATCTGGGAATGGTTGACATTTCATGAATAATCTGTTATGTTTGTTTGGCGATTTCGACAAGCACATGATTTCAGACTCTTCATTGACAGTTTCTCTGTATGATACTACTGGATCAGACTTTTTGATTGGAATACAAGCATGATCTTCTTCCAAATCCTTCAAACAAATTTCCAAATGCAATTCACCAGCACCCGCAACAATGTGTTCACCTGATTCTTCAATAATACACTGGACCATAGGGTCAGACTTGGCCAAACGTTTTAGACCTTCAACCAACTTAGGTAAATCTGCAGGGTTCTTGGGCTCTACAGCAATACGTACAACAGGGGAAACACTGAACTTCATGACTTTCATGTTGTGAGCATCTTTGAAGGTTGTAATTGTTCCAGTCTTAACTAAAAACTGATCAACACCAACCAATCCACAAATGTTACCTGAAGAAATAATTAACATCAAGAAGTGTTTAACCTAAACTAAAATCAAGAACATACCACTGGGAACATCTTCAATAGCTTCAGTATAACGTCCCATCATCAAAATTGTTCTTTGAATAGCTTTTTCATACAAATCTTCTTTTTTGCCAGGAGTATAGTTGGGTCCCATAATACGAGCTTTCATGCCAGTAGCTACCTAAAATTTTGAAGTTATAAATGAATTATGTATATTTTTAAAGTTCTTCATAACATACTCTTCCAGAGAATACACGACCGAAAGCATAAAAACGTCCTTTGTCAGATGTCGGTACCATTTTGGAAATGTACATCATGAGTGGTGCATCTGGGTCACAGTTCTAGAATAATAAAATAATAAATAAAGTTTATATGGTTAAATCAATTTTAAATTTACCTTAACACCAAGGGCAGCTTCATCATCATGAGGTCCTTCATACAACATTTCCATACGGTATTTTTGGGCAACAACAGGAGATGGCAAGTGGATAGCTATCATCTGAAGTAAAGCTTCTCCAGCTGGTAGCCAAGTACGCATAACAACCTAAAATATGACAACAAATTTCATTTTTAAGTACCTACATCTTGGTTAAATTTTAAATTAAGTACATAATTTCATTTAAACTTTACTCAGATGGAGAAGGGTTAATATGAATATCAACATGTATATTCTTATCAGAATAAATTTATATCATCATCGTAAAATGAAATGTAAACATAATTTATATTAACTTAAATAATAATTGCAAAACAAATATCAGAAGAAAATTTAAACCATGCATCTTAGTAACTCAGATGGAGAAGGGTTAATGTAAATATCAACATAATTTTCTTGTCAGAAAAAATTTCTATCATCATTGGTTAGAATATAATTTAAAGATAACACTTTAACAAATGGCTTTTAGGCAAATAGAATAAAATAAGTAAGAAAAACTTAACATTAAATTTAAATAAAATGGATAAACTGTAAATAAATATTAACAAAGCAATTCTTCATAGAATAATCTATTTAATCAATGCAAAATAATACATGAATTTATTACTTCAAAACTAACAATTATATATTTACCTTCAATAAGGCTTTTCCATCCTTATCTTGATCTTCGTGTTTTAATTCAATACCAAGCTTTTTCAATAAATCAGTAGCTTCTTCTTTTTTATAGTTCATGATGGAGTTAAATACCTATAATTACAAATAATTAACATTAATATTATTCAACATTTAGAACACAACCATCAGATAGTTTTAAAATTATTTGTCTTCAATAATTATTCAGAACATTTTTTTTTTTTTAATGTATTATCTATATTTTTATCATTGGTTGTTAAAATCTTAACAATTTATTTAAACAATAAAATAAATACTATAATAACTAGTTCATATACAGTGGGTTAACTGTTATTATTAATTTTAATATAATGCATAAACAAACATCAGTTGTATTTAAATTAAAAATTTCTTCAATAATATCTCAGAACAGGTCTGTGATAATTAATCATCATTAGTTTGTTATGATTATTATTTCAAACTATTTTAAAGTAACAATTGACATAAGGCTTATTTAAATTAATAAGTCAAGTCATCTTAGATGGATGTTCTTAAGAATTCTATATCAAGAACATTGATGAGTAATAAAACATTGAGTTAAGTAAAAATAATTTATCATAATAGCTAAATTTAAGTGTTTTCTGACTTCAATTAGTTATTATAACCAACAGTATCAGAAATCATTAATGATGCCAAAAATAAGAAAGATTTACTTAAATAAATTGTTTATTCCTCAGACGGCCGTTCTTAAGATATCGTCATAATTCAATATCAGGAGCATTGGTGTGCAAAGAACATCATCACAGGTAAAAATAATAAATTCATGTTCAATAGGTCAAACAATAAATAAAACACAATAACTAACCAATATTTATATCAATTACTTATTAATTTGTATGAACAGAAATATCTATTATCTAACCCCCATTTTGAATCACACCCAATTCTGAAATGCAAAATGCTGGATACTATTATCTTATTTAATATTACAAGTTGACTACTTTAGTTTAAAAATTTGAACATACAAAACAAATATTTGTAACTTAAAATAAATCTCAGACGGCCGTTCTTAAGATATCATCACAGTACAATATCAGGGGCATTGGTGTGCAAAGAACATCATCATAGACTGAATTCCCAACAAATAGATAATGAATACAATATATAATTTAAATTGACCTTTTTATCATAATAACTTCAGTCGGCCGTTCTTAAAATATCATCACAAGATAATATCAGGAGCATTGGTGTGCAAAGAACATCATCATAAGTTATTTTAAATAAATACAAAAGAAAACTAAGATTAAATCTAAAACTTAGTAATTAGGGTTTTAAGTATTTTAAATCAGTAGTTAATGAAAAATAACTATAGTCCATATCAATACAAATATCTTGAAAATGACGATTTTTAGTTAAACCGAGGGTCCAAGTAGGGTTAGGAAATAAAGAACACGCTTTTTTAAAATTATGATTAACAGCAGTTACAGATTTTGTGCACCTATAACGTAAAATAGCCACCAGGCACATTAGTATAGAGGGACATTTGTTGTGAAACAGATTATAATATGTTAAAACTTAAAAATAATTATATACTTTGTAAATAGGATCCAGAATGTACATGCAGAAAGAACGTTGGTTGTTATCATCCTTAAGTTTGGCCCATTTCTTTGTTTTGGGGTTGAAGAAATTTTCTCCCCACAATCTGTAATAAGAAAAAAGTTAAAATATTTAAAAATAAATTTTCCCTATTTTATTAGTCACCTGTTCATAAGTTTAACAACATCAATCTTGAATTTTTCAGCATACATTTCAGCGAACTGTTTAAGAGTGAAAGCCCAACCGTGAAGACCAGATCCAAAACCAACACTACCCTTACTAGGGTCAACCTAAAAAAAATTGATTAAAACTTTATATTTTAAGTAAATAACAAATAAATAAGCTATTATTTTAATCTTTCAGACGTGGAGAAGGGTAATAAAGTTTCATGTAAGTGTAACTTATCAACAGCTTTAAACAGTTATCATCATAAAGATTCAATATAAATAATAATAATAAATAATTTAATAAGTTATTAACTTATTATATATTAAGTCATAATACATGGTTTTCTAAATATGAGACAAAAGTAATAGATAACATGATAAAATATTTTTGAAAAACCCTGTGCATAAATTTATCAAAAAAGCGACATGTTTTAAACAAGTATAAAAATGTCTGTACGGCATGGGATTTCAATTTAATAATAAAATGTAATACTATGTCAAATTGTACAGTTTTTTTTAAAGATATGATTAGTTGTACATAGAATCATTATATTTAGTTTTAACACTAAAAGTATCATAAATAGAATATTGTTTACCAGGTCTACAGAAAGAAGATTAAAGAATTGTTAATTGATTTATAATATCAATTGTGAAACTTATACATTACTAAATTTACACTGATGTTAATTAGATTTAAAATTTAAAAAAAAAGAAACAATTTTACAAATCTGATTCTATCACATTTATTAGAGTCAAATAGATAAAAAAAAAAAAAAAAATGAATCAATTAGGATAATAGAATTTTATTTAAAATTTGCTCAAGGTTCAATATAATATTTACGATATGAACAAATATACTGCAAAAACTCAGTCTAATAAATATAAAAAATAAAAGTAATTTCAAGTCAGTGTGGTGTTGTTATCTCAATACTAGAGTGAAGTATTTTCTTTAAGCACAATACAAAAATTTCTTTTAATTTATATTTTCTTTGCAAAAAAAAAATATTGAAAAAAGAACTCTTTGTAATTATTCTTACTTTAAAATTTAATAACAGAAAGCCAACTCTAATCTATATATTATAAGTTCATAGAACATAATATCCTATCATATTTTATACTCAAAATGATATATTTTCAATCTTTCAGACGTGGAGAAGGGTAATATACATTTCATATAAATACATTTGATCAATAGCTTTAAATAGTCATCACAAAGATTGAATTTGGTATGACATATAAATTACATTAAGGTGCTATACTATATATTACCTGGACTTCGCCCATGGGACCACTATCATCAGAATATGTAGCAATAATGATGTTAACATTTTCAACAATACGCTGGAAAGTTTGGTACAAATCTTCAGATTCCAGTTGCAATTCCAATAAAGCACGATCCATTTTGTTCATGAACAAAATTGGCTTAATTCTTTCAGCAATGGCTTGACGTAATACAGTTTCAGTTTGTACACATACACCTTAATATAAAAAAAATTATTAGAGAAACAGAAATTTAAAAGAACAAGGGTATTAATAAAGACAAATTAATATATACCTGAGACACAATCAACAACAACTAAAGCTCCATCAGTAACACGGAGAGCAGCAGTAACTTCACTGGAGAAATCAACGTGACCAGGTGAATCGATCAAGTTGATTAAGAACCCTTTTTCATCAGCATCACGTTGATCTACATTCTTAATAAAGACTAAATCTTTTTCTTGTAATTCAAAGTACATAGAGATGGCAGTAGATTTGATAGTAATACAACGATCTTGTTCATCTTTACGAGTGTCAGTAAAACGCATGTCTCCAGCTTTGGCATTAGCTATAATACCAGCTTTGGATACCAAAGAGTCAGTTAAAGTTGATTTTCCATGATCTACATGGGCGATGACGGACATATTACGAATGTTCTTCTTCTTGTCCATCATCTTACGGATTTCGTCTACTGTGAAGTTCACCTAAGTACACAAAATAATTTAACCAATGTACCTATTCAACAATTATGATAAAAAATAATGGTATTAGTCAGACTCATTAAATCAGTATTTCCCTCCATAAACTGTCAGGATGATAAATTTGTCATCATTCTTTTTATACCAAACATACTCTCTTTGTATAATTCAAATGATTATGTCAGACTCATTAAATCAGATTTTCCCTCCAGTAATATTCAGGTAAGAAAAAAAGATCATCATTCAATAATCATTGAAAATATATAGGTATATAATTAAAGGTTGTTTAATAATATACTATAGAATGTATCATAATGGTAATAATCTAATTCATTATCTGAATAATGAATAAGAAAATAAAAATGTTTTTGATGAATTACATACACAAATATTAGTATTTAATAAATAACATTGCAAGGGCAAATAGAAAATGTATATATTAAGGTTTAAAGAAAATACTTCCAATGGGAAATATGTTGAAAAGATAAATAAAAATCAGTTATTTTTCAAAAAGAATTATTTAGAAAATTATTTCACCATGCTATGCAAACTGTATAACACCATAGGATAAACAGTTATACTCGAGTCAGTATCGATAAACAGCATTATTGGTTTAAGACACAATACAAAAACAGGATACTTTCAGATCGATCTGGAAGCCGAGTAGATACATTACAGACGATATCATAAAAAATATTATAGATAATATATAAGGTTAAACGCGGCATGGTACAAATTACATCAACGACATAGCAATAGTCGTGGGGAAAAACACAGATATTACATCTAGTCTTTAAAAATTATTGAAAGAATTTGTTAACATGTAGAGGTCATGGATCGGTACTACTTAACAAATTCGCAGAAGATCGAAAAAATTAATATGTCAAGCACTATGATCCATGCAATTTCGGAAAAACCTAATAGAAATAGTGACCTCGGAAAATCATACAAACGACTCGTATAAAAGATAGATGGCACTTTTTTCAACCCACAAGTTACGATGAAAACCCTAACCGGACACGGGTGTTTCGCCACGACCCACCGCTACCACGTCATCTCGGCGGATGACGCCACCACCACTAAATGCATGACCCGACCAAAATAAAACAACGGTAAAAGCCGGACGATGAAGAAATGGACGGCTGTCACACAGCATTAAATAGTAACGTAACAAAAAATACAATCAATACTCACCATTTTGAGATGTTTTTGGATAAAATCTGCTCGGAAAAATCAAATTGTGTTGCACTAGTGTCGGGAGCCGACGTTGCAACAGAAAGGACGGAGCGCAGTACAGTTCGTCAGACCGTCGAACTACGAACACACCGCTACCCCCTCCCCCACCACAACAATTACCAGCGGTCGCCATGACACGTTGCACAGAGCTGCCGTTCGTGGGAATAATGATACCCCGCCCATGTTCATAGTAACCCTGCCAGACGCGTTCGTTCACTAGCGACGTGTGGTGTACAAGGTTGCCAACCTTGTTACCCGCAAAATAATGCAACTGCAACAAACTTGTAGTTTTTTATATTTTTATTTTATTCTCCCACCCGAAATCGAATATAAAAATCGGATATAAAGCAAAGTAGTACTGATTAGAAAAATTTAGATTCCAAAAAACATATTAATTATAATCCATAAAAAGTGAAATTGTTAACCTTTTATTATCTACACATAATATGATATCATTTCTAAGTTTTTAATTATACCATATTTTATACTTTTTAGAAAGTACCTACACAGAATTTACGAAAAAAAAATTAAAAATTGTCATACATAATTCAGAATTTTATATCTACCACAGTACTACGGTCCACAGTTATAGATATACTATGTATGTATTTATATTTGTGATATTACATAAAACACAATTTAAAAAAATGTGTAATGTACCTACGATAAAAACATGCTTTTTTTCGACATCGTATTAATCTATGATAAAAACATGTTTTCTCGGTCATCGTATTATGGGATCTGTACAATTAAATCCATATCACATTTGTTTCAATAATCTAAAACTTAAGTCTTTTGTTTCAAAATATAATTAAGAGGTAGGTATAGTGAGGTATCTATTGGCTATTATAAAAAAGTTAAAAAGAAGTATTTTTCAGAACAAGCTAGTAATAATTTGTAGATTAATTTTTGGAAACAAGGGCATTAGAATAAACAATAATTTAAAACATAACTTAAGTGGTACAAACATATTTATTTAAGGTAATATGTTTTGGTTTAAAAAGTAATATTGTGCTCAGAAATAAATTTTGAACATGTTCCACAAAACTTATGGCATATAACTCATTTTATCAAAAATATTGTGTAGATTGTAATTTGTCTCCCGGAAAATCGCGAACCCTATGTTTTTGTAGGTTTATAACCTTGAACTTGGAATTCTATCCAGTCATATAACTTACAAAACGTTTTGAATAAAAATAATTTAAATATTGTTTTTTATTAGTGGCTAAATCCGCTCCTGATTAGTTGATAAATAATTCGTTGTCAATAAATTAAAAGCTGTTGATTGATAATGGATGACGTATACTGTAATTAATACATAAGATAAGTAGTAAAATTAATAAGTACAAGGCTAAGATTTTAACGTAAAGTTTATTTTTTTTCTTAACCCAAAATTAAGAGGAACAGAAGACTGAAGGTTATGATCTCAGGATCACATGACTTAAGATTTTTTATAGCCCCCTAATTATGCATCATATATTAATAACATTGTAAATATTAATAATGACTTATTTGATATTGCATGTAAAAGAAAACACCTAAAATGCTGAATACCTATTTAATATGAATTAAAATATATATAAAAAAATAAAATAAATAATATTTGTAAATAAAATTATCTTCGTAGAATTTAATGTTATTATTAGTGTAATGAGAAATTTTTACAATATAAATAAAATAATAAATGATACAGAAATAAATTTTTTTCGAGAAAAGTTGGACAATTTTTTTTAATTGAATACTTGTAGATTTAAGTTATACAGGTTATAGGTACTTATTGTTTTATGAAAATAAAATATGTAGGATTATTGACAATTTTTTTATTTTGGATTTTTTAAAAATTTATTCTGCGCACTGTGCTTTATAAATTTTAATCTAGGCATGATTTTTAAGGCCTCAACAAAAAATAGTAAAACATTATCAATACCTATAATTGTATTATCATTTATCATTTTCATAAAATGAACGATAAATTTTGGTTTTAAGTAGGTACTTATATATAATTCGTTTCAAATAGAACAGATATATGATAAACGAAACATTTATTTTGCATTTTTCAGAATTTGCGGATCATTTTATTTATGTTTAGTGCATGGATATTTTAAACGTTGTTCCTACATACGAGTTTAGTGTACATTAGAGAGTTTAAAATATTATATTATTATAATTATTATTATATTTCTGTAAAATGTTTATACTTATAAATTAAATAAAAATAAATATTAATTAGACACAAATTAACATTAATTAATTACATTTTTTATATATATCACATAATGACGTTAGATTTTTACTTATATTAAGTATAAAAAAAATTGGATCATAAATTAAGTTATGTAATTACTTTGTTGGATAATTTGTCTTTTGTAACTTCCGACCACGAGTTTCCAAACAAGCGTTAAATAATATACGCTTATATATTTTTTCAGTCTAAATCAGCCATGTTACGGTATTTTAAAATAATATGTAGGTTATTCTTTTTTTCCTAAATATGTATCAATCCTTAAAAAATAAATAAATGTAATTGAATCCTCTACAGTCCTTACAAAAACGTTATAAACAAACAAGAATGTAATAGAATTTCAAAAATATTTATATAAAGGCTTATGACTAGGTGCATAGTTATAAATTATAATAAAAATGTATAAATTGGATTTCAACATTGATTTTTATTCAGCTGTATCATGTAATGAAATAAATAAATTTTAAAATGAAATATAGAAGTTTTTATAATGAGAACCTAGTCATGAAAAATAAAATAAATAATAGGTAATAAAAATAGGTTCTCGGTTAATACTTCAGTTTAGATCTGTATTCTGTAGGTATCTACGCTAGTCCTAATTATGTATTTTTATTTCTATACGTAATCAAAATTGTTCTAACCTTATTTCTATAATGTTTATTTCAAATACAGTTATTCTAAATTTTAATAAAAAATAAGTTCCAAACTTAAATATACTAGGTAATAAAAATTCATTAGTGTAAATGTAATTTGAAAAAACATCAATTTATATATATTATAATTTGGATCAAAGAATTTAGTAGGTAAGTCAGAAAAATTAATGTTGGAAGGTTAGTTTAATCGTTTAATCTAACCTAACCTATACTATTGTAAAATTATTGGTTGTTAGATTTAATAAATACAAATATTCCAGATGTTAGACATAAATCGAATTCGCACAAATTGACTTTGGAACAAAAAGTACTGATCTAGAAACACCTTGTTGAATTTTTTTTTATTTCCATGCAATATATCAATGTTATTATTATTATTATTTTGTATTTTATATAGTACTCTTTATACTGATAACCGACTACGGAATAATAACAATTAAGTATTAACAATGTTTTTAACTTGATGGTTTTAGTTAAATGTTTAAAAACTTAAATAATCCACTTGGCGACTGGCGTACTCTATTGAATCCTTGCTATCATTAAAAAATAAAAATGTAAGTTATGGTTTTATAATACATTAAATTATCGATAAAGTAAATTTAATATTGCATGCTTGATAGATTAACAATCGTGATGAAGGAAGTGAAATTTTTTTAGAGTATAAATAATATTATTAAAATAGTTCAAATAAGTATATTTAAATAAAATACAATTAAAAAATGAATATAAAATTGTATAAACTTCATAAGTTCTGTGTTTAAATCACTTATTTAACTGTAATTTAGATTTAGTCGTTTAGGATTGAATGATTGATGTCATTTAATATCTAATAATTTAAAAAATATAAACAGTGATTTTGTAAGTTTTCTTTTATGTGGTATTCTTTTTCTAAGTGATTGGGGCAAATAGACATAAAATATTTTATTTATATTTACCTTAATTATTGTTAGTGCTTCATAGTTTGTTAGATTATGACTTATTTAAATTATATAATATGTATCTCACATACCCAGGCTTAAACTATAATATTAGGTTAAAATATTCATTGTTAATACTACTAAATTTATGAGAATCTATAGTTATAGTATAGTAATTTTGTTATAGTTTGAATGTATATTGTATAAATATAACTTTTAAAATCTTTACAAATACACACATTTTTCAAAACAATATTTAATTATTTTCTTTTTGTAGGTCACCATCATCTAGACATTACTCTAGATCAAAAGATTCCTACAGTAAAAAGAAAAATATTGATGAAGAAAGAAAACACAAACATGATAGGCATTCGTCAAAAAAAAAAAAAAAATCCAAATCAAAACACAAGAGTAAAAGAAGGTAAAATTTGTTGATTAATATTACTAAATAATATTATGTTAAGTGTTGCAAATTATGTATTGAAAAAAAATATGAATAAAATAAGTTTTTTTTTTTTTTTATTAAAGTGTTTAGTCACATATTACTTATTTATTTATATTTATAGAAGTCTCCCCTTGTTATGCGATTGTATAATTATATTATACAATTTTACTATAAATAGTGTTTATTATTATCGAATAGTTAAAATATAACAGACACTATAAATATGTAAGATAATTTTATGATTGCAATTTTTTGATAGTCTAATTAGTGATTATTTGGTAGGCAAGTGCATAGCAATCAAAAAATGTTTATCATAATATGGATAGGTATGTTACATATTGCTCAGACATAAATCAAATATTGATTATAATATAATTATAATAATTATTATTGCTATAAACTACTTATAAAAATCACTCTAAAAGTGTATTTTGATTTATACGCAGGTCGTCATCAAGTGATTCTTCATCGAGCAATGATGAGGCAAAGTTACTACAACGTCTGCAGCAAGAAAGACTTAGAGTTGCTGAAGAAAGAAAACAGCAAAAGGAATTAATTAAATGTATGGAAACTCCAGAAGAAAAGCGGTTTAGGCGTTTAATGAAGAAAACAGCTAAAGAAAGAAAACGAAAAGAATTAATGGGTTGGGATAATGATTACCTTCATTATACAAATGCTGACAATCCATTTGGAGATGCAAATTTGCTTTCTACATTTGTTTGGGATAAAAAAATGGCCAAAGATGGTTTAATAGGTGTTAGCCACGAAGAACTAGAGTTAAGAAATAGACAAAAAATGGAAGAAAACAA